GGCTAGTGTAGGTGGCCATTCAGAGTAATTTTTAGGGAACTGTAAGCAGATGCTCCGTGTTTTGATGATGAAAACTTTACATTTGATGTTGTAACATTCTTAACCCATGACTTGCTATCTGTTTCTCAGGGCTGTGTTGGAGATAAACGTGCCTGTCCTTTTTTAGGGCGGTGGTTGCTCTCCGTCAGTATAGCTTTCACCAAGTCTCTTATTGCCCACTTTGAGACAGCATAAAATAAAATATTGTGACATGCCATGCTATTATATAACTGCTGCCCTCTTTCGAATTGATTAACAATAACAAGTCCATGTAAGACCTCCTCTGTTATAAGATGATGCCAGTTTGCAGGGAAACAAAGACACCTTCTGCCTCGATGTGTATTCAAATGGTTTCTTTGACATATATATTGAAGCGTTTATTTAGTTTGATAAAAGACTTTCCAAGGTACCTTTTACTCACCTCAGACAGTCCTAGCCACTCACTAGGAGGACATTCATGCCTGGCCATGTAGACGTAGTCATTTCCTCGCGCTGCTAAGGACGTGGAACCCGGAGGAGAAGCGTCCACGTTCCTACACCGGTATAATCAACTGCATTCCGAATTCCTCTCCTTCTGTCCACAGATTAGTGGAGCTGTCATCCCTCATCAAAGAAACTTGGTTTTGCAGCAGATGGAGGCTGCTTCTCGAAGCTGCCACTGGTCAAAGTGCAGGGATCAATTTCTCATGGGATGCGCGACCCCAATTAGTCCATTGATGACCCCCGCTAAGGCTAGAGAGGATCTCAGGAGAGGAGCATGGAAGACTGTGAAAAAACCAAAGGACGAGGGCATTTGCTGTTATAGAGTCTGTTCTTAAAAAGAAGGGGGACACAAAGTGAGGGGTAGAGAGGAGGGTGTGAATCTGAGAGGAACTGGGAAGTAAATAGGATCAAAATGTTATATCACATTCTCAAAGAATTACTAAAAACGTTATTTTTTTCCACACTACACTTTTACATAGCAGATTTCTATCCTGACTTTAGAGGGCAGTGCTCGACCACTATTGTTTCCTTATTTCCATTATAGCCACTTGTAATGGTTAATATAAAATAAAACTGAAATATCAGCCATGATATTTGTGATACAATTATGTACAACCCTTAATAAAATTTCTAGGTAGTGAAATTAAAATAATAGTTCATCCATCCAGTACTTCACTTAATAAATATTTATTAAGTTTATTATGTACAACACATTGTACATGATGCAGAAACGAGGAAGGCTGTGCTGTATTTTAAACAAATTAAAATTAAGCAGGGGAGTTAGCCACCCTTGTGCATGTGTGTAAATGCTGGAGCACACTGTGTGCACTTACGACTCTTCCATAATAATGATAATGAAGCTATCAGTGGTGACTACTTTACATGCTAGTCAGGGAAGTAATTCTATCCTGATAAAGCCCTGCAAAAGGAATTCTTATTGTATCTACATTGGCAAGCAAGGTTACTGAGGTTTAATAATAGGATCAAGTATTTACTCAAAGCCATTTAGCTTGGGAGGCACAGAGCTAGGACTTAATGTGTTCTTGTTTGACTTCAAAGAAGCCAATGCATTCTGGCGCTGTGCCGTTTCTTATTTCAAGGTGTCTGTGAAACCCCATAATACACATGTTTGCACAAGGAAGAACAGACATGCAGAACAGAGTAACATAATTTGTGTTTGTGAGAAATCTGGAACATTTTACATAAAGGGCAAAATCTGAACTACATTGGAATCAGTAGGGTTATAAGAAAAGACTAGCTAAAATAATAGTTAATGTTTATTGAAATGTTATTATGTTTCACGCGCTCTGTTATCTATTGCCTCATCTGATTATGAGAAAAAAGAACTGTTGGGTATTATTTTTTGTTGTATGAATAAGTCAAGCAAGGCTGAGAGTAGTCAGATCTCCTGAAAATGGGACAGAAAACTTGAATCTAGAACTGTCTAATGATAGAAGCTGTAATTTTAACCCCTGCTATATACTGAATAGAGAAGTAAGGTGGAAGGCATGGATAAAAGTGTGGAACATGATCAGGCTAAGCCAAACAATTCTATCTGACTGTAGCCTGGGCTGACTAGAATGCAAGGAATGCAAACGCCAAAGGAGGGGATTGGTGATTGATTTGTAACCCCAACTATTTACGACATGAGTTTGAGGCCTTGGTTTTCTTGTTTATAAAGCAAGAAAAATAAATAGTGTTTGCCTCAACAATTGCTTCGTGAATAGAATAATTAACAGAAATTGGTCCCATGATGATACAAGCCACATAGCAAGTTTTCATAACAATGTGAGGCAATAACAAATTAAGAGAATTTAATTGTTCTATTTCCTAGTTATTGGCAATCGATAAAGGGGGAACTAAAATGTGGGTGCAGAAAAATCAGTTCCATTTATAGCGGGAAGAGAAGAATAGTTTTAACTTTACAACCCAATGTCTTTACTCAACCCTAACAACCATGGTCCGTCAGTATCACCCTGGATACTGCATTCTGAAGACCTTCACAAAGTTTAATTTTTTAATTTAAAAAAATCCTTAAAAGATATTCTTATGGGGCTGGAGAGATGGCTCAGAGGTTAAGAGCACTGGCTGCTCTTCCTGAGGTCCTGAGTTCAATTCCCAGCATCCACATGGTGGCTCACAACCATCTGTCATGGGATCTGGTGCCCTCTCTGGCGAGTAGGCATATATGCAGACAGAACAATGTATACATAATGAATAAAAAAAAGATATTCTTATAAATTCTCTGAGAATTTTCTGCTCATATTCACCCCCCAGCTCCTCCCATATCCGCTCCCTTCCTTACACACCCAACCTCTTGGAAAGCAAAAACAAAAACAGTTACATTGTTCATTCATCCATCAATGGGCATCTAGGATGTTTCCATTTCCTGACTTTTGTAAATACAGCAGCAATGAGTGTGGCTAAGCAAATATTTCTCTAGTAGGATATAGAGTCCTTTGGGTATATGCCCAAGAGTAGAACAGTCAGCCAGAACTTACGGTAGAACTGATTTAGCTTTGTGAGGAACCTCCCCCACTGACTTATATAGTGGCTGTCTCAGTTTACACTCCACTAACAGTGAATAACTCTTCCCCTTTCCCCATGTTCAAGCCAGCATTTGTTATTTTTTAAGATATGTGTGTGTGTGTGTGTGTGTGTGTGTGTGTGTGTGTGTGTGTATTTTTAAAATCAAGTCCATTGAGCATTCAGCGGGGTCTTTGGTAATGGACTTTTTAGTTAATTCCTGGAAAGTTTCATCTGTCATTTCCTTGCTCTTCTTATCTACATTCTCTTTCTAATGCTTATAAAGCTCACATTGTTAAGTTTTGGGCCTTTCAAAAAATCCCCTGGTTTTCCTAATTTCTAGTTTCTTTCTGCATTCTATCTGTTATGAAATTTCATCAGGTGTTCCAGTTCTTCTCTCTGCAGTGTGAGTTTGTACTTATGTGTATGTATCTACATATGTGTTTATTTGCGAATGCATGTATCTGATGGTATTCTTCTGTTCTTGTTTCATGGGTATCTTCTAGCCCCCTGAGGAAAATGTAATTAAAAATCAGTTTCTTCAAATAGATGACAACCCTTGCTTATATGTAGCTGAAACTTTAAGAAATGTTTTATGATTGGACAGTTCACAGTATTGATAACAATATCAACTTTACCATTTCCTTATTGTTTGTCACAGATAATCTTTCTCAGGAAGGTTGCTAGTCCCTTTTCTGTTACTAGTTGCCCAGTAACATGGGCTAGATAATGTTTAAAGAAGGGAGATATATATTGGCTCATTTTTGGTGGCGTAAGGTTGAGATGCCATATCTGGTGATGGTCTTCTCGCTGGCAAATCCGCCAGTGTTCAGTCAGAGGACTCTACCCTAACGACCCTGTCTATTCGCCTTTCCAAAGCCCCACCTCCAGACTCCATGCGTGGATAAAATTTCAACCCTCTTAATACTGCACACTGGGCATTGAACTACAACATGAGTTTGGGGAGGTAATAAACCATATTCAGACCATGGTAAATTAGTGTCTACAGCCGAGCATACTCTTGTTCTCTCCCTAGGAAATATAAACCTAGCTATCGTGGATTATGAGGCACTTCTGGTAAGCTGTGGGTCTTCCTTTACTACAAAGAGATAGCTGTTAACCCAGCTCCCTTCTTGAGAAGTTGGGCTTGGGGTATAGCCCTTCTGACGCGGAGATTATATCCTGTTGCAAGCCATCCGCTCACAGCTTCACGAGCTGTCAATCTCTCCGACGACTCGACCATGCAATCACTTTTCTTTCAAGTTCTCCTTCCTAGCTAATCCCTGCCTGTCTCTTAATTGAGTCTCCCGTCATCGTCCACACGTGTTCTTCACACTGCTCGTCTGCTTCTGTCGATCTCGTTGCCTTTGTCTCATCGTTTTAAGAATTTGTATAAACCCGTTGCAGTCACTTTAGCGGGATTTGGGAGATGGCGAGGGTAAGTGTGTATGGGCGGCATGTAATCTACTGGTGAAATTTTAAAGTATTATTTATTCCTGTCACGTGCATCATAAATACTTTGTGGGGCTTGCTTTGGGTGACCTCCTTAAAGGATTTCTTACAATAATTCCTATTTCATTCATATTAGCCTACTTGAGACTCTTCCCTTTATTCTATGACAAGCTTAGATTCTTGACACCCCATGAGGTTTTTCTCATTCGTTGCTGTTCACACATTTTCTTGGGTCATTACCATGTCCTGTTACCCATTGCAAACTTCATTCGTTTGCGTCTTTCTCACCCACCTTCTTCACTTTTGAACTTTAATTGAACTATATGTATTTTTGGCCTAGTAAGCCCAAAATGCAAGATGGCAAGGTCTGATAACTAAGCCTAGAAGGCAGCCGGCTTGCTAAGGTATGCAAGCGTGTCAATTGTGATTTCATTGATGTTATGACGTATAAGTAACATTGACATAATATATTGGTATAATATATATAAATTTGGTTTCAGAGAACTTCATCTACAATAAATTTGTCACCAGGAGAAGTGGAAGAAGAGGAGGAGGATCCAAACACTTGTGGGCCCACAGGACTTTGGGAAGCACTAACTCCTTGTAACGGATGTAGGAACCTTGGCTTTCCCATGCTTGCACAGGTAAAGGTTTGCTTCTCTTAAGGTAAACGTAAGATGGTAGAATTTTTTTTTGTGATTCCATCTTTTTCTTTCAGAAATGTACTTAGTTAGCTTACTGTGTGTGTCAGTGCAGCAAATAGGGAATTTTCACAATTTTTATGATTTTTAATTTTGTTTGTGATGTTCAGTTTTTCCTATACATTTTAATGTTTCTGATTCATGCATATTCCATTAAAAATAATATTTTAAACAAATAGTATGGTGCAATGTAAAGCTGTCATTAGAGGAGGCTGTTTTACGTTGTTTTAAAAACATCAGTAAGCCAGGCGGTGGTGGCGCACACCTTTAATCCCAGCACTCGGGAGGCAGAGGCAGGCGGATCTCTGTGAGTTCGAGACCAGCCTGGTCTACAAGAGCTAGTTCCAGGACAGGCTCCAAAACCATAGAGAAACCCTGTCTCGAAAAACCAAAAAAAAAAAAAATCAGTAATGATATATAATTTCTTAGCACCATGGAAGCATTATGGAATAATATGAATATATCCTATGTCTTACTGGGATGTTTTAAAAATGAGACAGAGCACGAAAATATTGATTATATATTTGTAAACATTTTATTATTTATTAAATCATCTTTATTCTATTATGGGCCCTAATTTTCCAGAATTAAATAATAGAGTTAGGAAATTTGAAACTGAAATATTTCTATATGAGATGAGATAAACTTTATACAGATGAAGATAATGCTAAAAGAAGATCAACTGTGTTGAAAATAAGTAGAAAAGAAGTCTAGGAAAGACAAAATCACTTTGTCTAAAAAATGTATATCACAAATATAAATTTTATGTTTTGCCCCTGTGTCTAGAAATCACTGTTTTCTCATGGTTATGTCGCAGAGTTTGGCCATAGTCTTCTACATCCCATAAGAACTGATGTGGACAGCTAAATGTTTATTCAACCTGATATACAGTATTTAAAAAATTTCTCCATAGGAATTTGTAATATCTGATATTAATAAATAATGGGCTGTGAGTTCTTTGAAGAGGGAAAGTCAGTGCTTGGATGTCCAGTATCTGTGGATCATAGCAGCGAGGTTCTTGTTGTAGTCAGAATAGTGTTGAGCCAGCAGACATGTCTTGCACAGGATAAAAATCTATACCCATGTTTACGTGCGTGAAGAGGAAGGAAAAAAAGCACACATTTTCGTTTTATGAATATCCTAATCCGATTAACAGATTTATAATAATGGAAATCTTTGCCCATTTTTATTAAAGTTCAAGTCTTTGTAAAAGTATGCTTTTAAAAATTGGGTTATATACCTTAAAAAGTAGGACTCCTAAAATAAAGTTACAGAGCCATTAAATTAACATTCTGACCCTCAAATCATTAATACCATGACTATATCTGGTGACCCAACACTTTACTCATGGTTGCTCTGAGTATTTTCTATTTTTTAAGTATTAGTACTAACGTTTTCTTGATTTACAACTTTTAAATGTTCGATTTTTCTTTGGCTATTTGTCTGTGAAGACTGGTATTGCTTCAGTAAGTTTCTTAGATGTTCTAGATACTAATATTCCAGTAGCTCCATTCATCACAAAGTATCCCTAATCGTCAGCTCCTCTGTTGTCCTAATTTGCATGCATGTGCACAAGAACACTGTGTGTCTTTTTAATATAAAATTCATTAAACTTTTCGAAGCCATTTTTCCTTTAATTTATTGCTTTTAGAATTATTTTTAACTTTAATTACAAATACTATTCTAAATTGGAGTTTGCTTGTTAATACCTAGTTTTCCTAAACTGTCCTATGAGCAATAACACATTCCTCTTATTATATTTCATCCTTATGTTTTGGAATTACTTTCAGAGCTCACTTATTTCTGCTTTCCTAATGTGTAAACATCATGACTTTGTGTTGGTACGATTACCCCATGTTATTATATTAAAACTATTACCTGATTTGATTGTTTGCTTTTTAACTTTTATATTTTATAATTACTATGCCTAGTTCAAAAAGTGTTCTCATTTGCCTTTAATTGCTTCGATATTAAATATGCGGATTTACTCATGGTGCCGTATTTTTTAAATTGAATTTAATCTAGCAAACCTGAAATGGGGCTCTCACTAATGCTCTTCTCATGTAAGTTTTTGAGAATGCGTATTGCGTGTCTGGGTACGATTATTCATAGGTTCACCTTTACATACATATAAATAAGCCATATATATATGTGTGTGTGTGTGTTTATTTCAAAAAGTACGTGAAAGAATTGTACAGTTTTACAGCTAACACACACACACACACACATATTTCAAATTGTTCTAGTATCAGTGGGTGTGGATGCATGTGCCATTGTACTTGTGTGGGGGTTAAATGGCAGCTCCAAGGAGTCGGTTTTCTCCCTCCGTCCTTATGTAGATTCCAGGTTAGAACTCAGACTGCCAGGCTCTCATGGCGGGTTCTTCACCCACTAAGCCATCTCTCGGGCCCTGTGTGTACTTTATATAGTTTGTAACTGGCATCATCTTCAAGCCATTACACAGGATGTTCTGAGCATATGATTTAGCCACCCAGAGATCTCAGATTTTAAATATTTTAAAACTATTTATCTTTAATTTATTCAGCATTTCTTAGCTTTTTTTTTTTTAAGAGGCGAGAGGACGGGTGTTATTTCAGAACTTTAAGAAAACTTGGTGACTTACTCTAAAGTGGCAACGAGCACCGGGATTTCTGCTCAAAAGCAGAAAGAGATAACCCTTTATCACCAGAGGGGTATAAACTCTGAAAAGACACTGATACAAGAAGCCAGTATTTCTGTTAAGAGAAGCCTTAGAAAATAGAGAATGTTCTAGTGGGAGCTCACCAAGGCCAGCTGGACTGGGACTGAAGGAACATGTGATCAGACCGGACTCTCTGAATGTGGCTGATAATGAGGGCGGACTGAGAAGCCAATGATAATGACACCGGATTTTGATTCTACTGCATGTACTGGCTTTTTGGGAGCCTAATCTGTTTGGATGCTCACCTTCCTAGACCTTGATGGAGGAGGGGGGCTTGGACTTCCCACAGGGCAGGGCACCCTGACTTCTCTTAGGACTGGAGAGTGAGGGGGAGGGAAAGGGGGAGGAGTTGGAGGGAAATGGGAGGAGGCGGAAATTTTTAATAAATAAATAAATAACTAAAATAAAGATAAAAAAGTAAAAAAAAAATAAATAAAATAGAGAATGCACGGGGATCTTGATAACCATTTACTCAGTGGTTAGTCAGGACTCACTCTGTAGTGAGCTCTGGGTCCCCACTTGTGAGGAGCTGACGGTATGATTGCTTTCAAACTCTTTAGAGCACCATCAAGCATCAAATGAGATGTATTGAAATGGAATGACATGCCACTTGAAATAATTTTCACTGTAAAACTATTAAGGTGTTTAATGCCTTTCCATTTTGGGTACTTTGCCCAAAGGAGCCTATGATTAGATATACTTTCTCAACAATATAACCCTGGAGCTTTTAAAACGAAAGCATCCAACCTACAAAATATTTTATTTAGAAGCTGTTTTTTTCATATTTATAGCATATTTTGAGGACCGTTAAAGTCAGTATATACAGATCAAGCTTAATGAATAGCTATTTCCTTAACGTCTACTATGGGTTACTTTGTGATTGGTGCCATTAGATGGCATTTTATACATTTTACATGCCCAGATGTGTAAAGACTATATTCAATGTACAGAACAGCTTGCATTTCATATTTCTACTACTTAATTTACTTGACTCTAACTCACATGTATCAAATATATTATATGTTTAAAGCATAGAGTCGAGCTTCCAGAGCTTGAATTTCATGGAAAGAATGCAGACTCCCCCAGTGCCCCTGTTACCCATACATCTAATCCTAAAATGTTTTTAAGCTCAAGCAATAATTTAACTTGTAAAATGAGAACATAAGCCTAAATCTCAGTTTCGGTCCGGGTTTTGAACCAACTTAATATTTCAGAATTTAGTTTTCTTGCTTTCTTCCTCCAATGCTAAAAATAGAATGGACAAGCTAAATGATGGGCTCTTTCAAGTCCACCTTCGTGAGCGAATCATGCGGTGTTTTAGCTGTTCTCTGTGACTGGACCAGCACCTCTGCAAACAAAATTCCTCCTAAACTCATGAAGGTTCAGAACCCTAAACAACATCAGTTGATTATTACGAAACACTGAGATTTGCTGCCGCCAGAAGTTTTATATAAAACCAGTAAGATAAGTCGGACAGTGAGGTAGAAGAGAAGCCACAGAAGCCCTTTCTGGAAAACGTGCCCACATTTGAATCTGTGTCTCAACAGTGCTGACCAGAGTGATTCCTACCCCCCCCCCAACACTGTGTACGGCGTGCTAGGCATTTCACAGACATCATTTCTCTTTTGAAGTGCTAGCAATATTCACAAAGTTAATGGTCTCCAAATGATGCTCGTTTGACCTTGGGCCTTTCCAATTTTCATGCCTGTCTAGAAGGAGGGGTAGGGTTCTCAGCATTCAAGGCTTTCCATGACCCTTAAATCCTCTCCCCAAACAAAGATTTCTTCTGGGCCCTTGATTTCTTCCTCAAACATGGGTATTCAGGGTATCCCGGGCCATAGTGCCTGTACAGCTCCCCTGGAGTCTTCAGGATTGTAAACAAGGTTTTCCCAGTAAAACCATCTATCTGAAGAAGGACACAGTTTAAGATAAAAGCAGGGTGGCCAGGAGCAACAAGCGTCACTGGAACTGTTTTTATGGCATTTACCTGTACAGACTTGGAGGGAAGCCGCCTGGTTAGTTCTAAGATGTTCATATGGTTCAGTGTGGCCATACCTGGCCAAGCCTTCACAGACAGCAGCCAGTTAGAGTGTGAAACTATTATGAGCAATGTCTGCCATGCCTGCAGTCACCGTCCAGGCTTGGCTGTATGTGCCGATCACTGTTCCTCGCTGGTCTAGATGAAGCCACTCTTAAACATCATCATGTACTTGAAGATAGCAATTCCTCTCTGTACTCTTCC